TGATTTGCGTAATTTCCGATGCATTCAGTTTAATGTGAAAATTTCGTTTGTGTCACAAGAGATGTTGCGAAATGCGTTGTCTGTCAATATCCAGGATTGAGCCATAGTTCCCACGCGGGCCCAAGTCACACTTAATGAGCAGCGGCCGCATAAGCACTTCTGTGCAAAGTATTATTTAGCATTTTGAATCTTATCTTGTAAAGAAAAAAGCTCAAATTGATTTGAAGTATATGAGGCACCGTGCTAGCTCCTCCGACTGCTGCACACCTCTACTCTTTAAACCTCCCCCAACGCACTGCACGTTTTTTTTACATTAATCGATGCGTTTGTATGTATAAGTGTGCGGTCTGAGTTTTTTGCAGTACAAACGACGTGTTAATGGTTCTAGTATATTATAATGTATGCGCCACTGTTTATTTAGTTCAGATTTATACTGCAAAAAACGTGCTGTGTAATGCCGTGTGAACGAGCGGTCAGTGTGACTTGACTCTTACACTATATGACACATACACCGTGAAATAAAATACGTTCGTCTGACACCCTAAACCGACTTTCAGTCGCACGTGAACTCACAAGATTACGCCCGTTTGGCCTCACCCTTAACAAGAGATACATGGTATGGACTATACATCGGCAAATACATAATTGTAAATTGTTTATCTTCCACGACTTACAAAGATACAATACCATTTTATTAGTCAAAGTTTTGTAGCTATTTGAGTTTTACGGAAACAGGAGAATGTATTTTTAAATTTAATCTTATATGTGTACTGTTAAGCTAAAGTTTTAATATGATTATTTAAATGTAGTTACATTATTCCATTATCCACAGCCACCTTACCCATTACTGCCACCAAGCGGCAATGTGAAGATTACAGCATTCAAGTTTTGAAGGGTCGGTGAAATTACATGCATATGGGACACGTCAACTTATGTCTCAGGGTGAGGAACGCAGTGACAATGTCCCTCTGATCTTTACAATTTAAAATTGTGAGTGGAATTGCAATTGCTATGGACAGGCGTGTCGCTTACCACCAGGCGCACGACTTGTTCGTCCCTTGGAAAATAATCGATGATTCACATTTATCAACGAATAAATACTCTAATGTTTGTATCGTCATTTAGCATCATCTTATCAAAATTTTTTAGCAAGAGTATCTCTAAAATTGTTTGCTTTCACCTAAATATCAGGCGTTCTAAATTTACAAATTTAAGTTTTTTTTACTTAATTTAAGTTTATCTCGCAATATTTTCGTGATGCCCAGCATTGGTTAAAGTTGTGCTGTAGATGAAGATAAGATTGACAATAGGTACATCGTCAAGTTCCGTACAACACGAATAACACCGAAGCTAGGATTTAAGAATATAGTAGCATAATGAACTGCCTAAATGCCGATCAAAAAAAGTACCTAGAATATGTATTGCATGATTTTGTACAAACTTTCCTTTCTTATATTTAAGTATTAGTGTGCTATGTTATAATCAACCCTAAAACTTCGTTAATGTAAATAGGAAAAAGCATCTTGTGAGGTTATAATGTCACATATTTTAGCTTTTTTAAGTTTTTTACAAATGGATATTACTTAACATACCTATATGATGCTACGAGTTTAACTCTGTGGAACTACACAGAACACCAAGTTCTGGCCCTGTACAGGCTGTACTACTTGAGTGCGAATGCCAATTACGCGATTGACGATAGTGCGAAGACCGTTACGCGAAAGCTTAAATGCGCGATAGTTCACTTGCGCGAATGACGATAACACGAAGTCAGATTTGACTCCCATGGCTGCAGGTTGTTGTAATTTTTTGCAATGTAAAGCTTTCTAGCTCACCAATGCTCTGGCCACACAAAGGCAGCCGTGAGTGCGTTCCAGGCGCGGGATTTTTGTAATGTACAAGTTCAAAGGAACCCTGCCACACTGAGGGTCGTATTCCAGAACTTTACTCAATGCTCAAGTCAGGGCTTGAGTATTGCAGTAAGCACAGAAAATCATACTCAAGTCCTTGCTATTAGGGTCGTATTTCCAATGCTTGAAATCATACTCAAGTCTGCTCAAATTCTGACTAAAACTCGCGGCAACCGCGCTGAAGGGCGGCGTGCGGGGTCGAATGCTATAACAAGCAGGCGGACATTATCCGACAACGATGTGCTTTATTCTTTAAAATCTGTGTTGAAAATGAAACGTAGCCGCTTTTGGTGTCTTCCTAGCCGCCTTTGGGCCGCTATTTTGCCGCGAACTACGTTTGGGACTAGTGTTGTGTCATGGAAAAATTTCTATTTTGAAAAACTAATATTTTTCACAAAGTAAATATTTTTCCGGATATTTTTCCTTTAATTTTCCACATTTGACGTTGACACCTGTCAAAAGTTGAAATTACTGAACGAAACCGATGGAGCCATTTATAAGGTTTGTTGTGAAACAATTTTAAATCTCGTTTTTCTCTAAGTGAATTTTATCTATAAGATATTTCTAAACGTAGCACATAAGCCTTCGAAATAATATTTTTCCAATTTTTTTGAGAATTTTTCCGGAGAAATTTCCACCAATTACCTAACAGTACTTGGGACTGCTGTGACACGCCGCGGTAAACATTCGCTTCCTGCAGGTCCGCGCCAAGACCGCTTTTCCCGCTGTACAACCTGTGTGGTCTGAACTGATTGAGAATATATAAGTGGAGCGTATGTGTCACTAGAATCGTTCGCAACTGCACTTTTAAATATTGTATTAAAATTTAGTACTTGCGCGGCTGCAGCTATTACATTATACTTGAAATGCAGCTCGTGTAAAACAAACTTGTCAAAACAACCGGTGACTTACCACCTAGATGATAATTATTCTATCTATTTACAACAAAGAAACTTATAACAAAATTAACGTTAACTATTTACATGGAACTTTTTTCCACTTAACCCTAACGTAAAGTCAGCTGTAAGTTTATTCTAAGTAGTACGGACCAATAATTCAAGACGATTGCTAATCTCCATATCTGCAGATCGTAACTCTGAAAAAGGTCAAAATTCCATTTTATATCTAAATGGCGCTAATCAATAATGATAATAACGCGCACACACTCATACCCCCGTCTACTACTAGGGAAACCCTGTATCGCGGGTGCATGGACACACACGTAGACTTCGAGTATATAACCAGAAATAGAGACGAAATTTCATTTAATTTGTTTGAAAACTATTCTGCCAAATCATTACAGTGACAACTGCGCTCCGATTGGCCAGCCCGAATTCTAAACAAGTGACGGGTGTCGTCATTGATGAATTACCAGGAATGGTATGGTATGGCCCTTATTTCGTCTCTATTTATGGTTATAGACAATCGCAAATTACATCCAAACTCTCGAGAGAAATAAATATAGACCATCAAAAAATATTTCTCCCGACACGGAAATCGAACTCGGTACCTCTGCGTGGCAGTAACCGTTCGGCCACAGAGGCACTTTTTTGTAATATAATTCAAATATTGACCATGAGTTAAATTATTTCCTGAACTTTGACAAATATGCGTGTCAACAGCATTGTGTGTTACAAACCATTTAGATAGTGGTAACCATAAACAATTTCAGAAAACAGCCGGCAGTATTCACAAAAATCCGTGCAATAAGCGCCATCTAGTTGAGTGACTTGTTTGTTATCACTAGAAATTAAATTAGCTTTGATAAAATGTAGTTCGTTAAAAAATTAGTTACAAAAATAGCTATTTGGTACCTTTAGCGACATCTGGTGTACCAATAGGTACTAAATAGGTACCCGACTACACTGTACGCAATTAATAGTACGTACTCTTGAATTATTGGTCCATGGTAGTGGTATCAGGTAAGCCAATGTGAGTTATGACGGTATCTGCAGACGCGGACGCGGTTGCGAATTGGTCATCCTTGAAATCTGCACGTCAAACTACACATTAGCGGATCTTATTCCGTTGCATTGGAGGTGATATTCGAACAAAAGTGTATGTGTTGTTGAATGAACATCATGAAAGAAACCTTCGATTAGTTCTGTTGTTACAATTCAAGATGATTTTGGGCACTTATTTGGGATGGACACACAGGTCCCATTTCAACGTAATGCCAATATCCTATTATTAAACACCTTAACATTAAAATGTATGTCCCGAATGTTTACGGGACTATTTACAGAAGTAACAGCTTACATCAAATTCAATGTGTTTTATAAAAAACGTTCCGAAATTTCCAAAAAGTATCTAGTTCTAGTAATTTAAAGTATTTGCACAGAAAATAGAATTCTTACATCAAAAAATGCTAAGAAAATTGGATAAGTATTACTTTACATGTGTATTAGAAAGTAATAGCATAGTATAATAAGGCAATAATGGTAATTCCATACAAACATAGTAGCGCGGCTTGTACCCGTGTATGGAAACCCGCCTCGCGCTGTGTACAGACGCACACATTCGCATAAGCTCGCGATGCACTCGCGTTGCGTAGCGCTGGTTGTCGCGTGCGCCTTACATAATGCAAATAGCTAGTTTTCAAGACCAGTGGCCACTCCAAAATAATTCCTTTTTTTGATTTATGACCGAAATTTGTTCAGAAAATACTAAAAACTTATTAGAAATATGATATCGTGCTTTTCATTGGTTAAAATAATCATAATGACAATGTTGAATTTGTATTTTTAAGTTTATCGAATATTACGATGTTTGACCACCATGATATTCAATTACTTTTGTGAAATTACTCCACTAGTTTGTTATAAAATTATTAATACAAAGATCGAACACTAAGAAAAAATTCCATCGGCTGGAAAGTAACCAACGTCTTTCAGCAAACCGTGCCAACTAAGCCATGGAATGAACTAGCGGATTTTACGAATTGTTCTGCTTGTTGCAGATCTGTGTTTTTAGGTTTTAACGACTGTGCCGTAGCGCCATCTGTGAGAAATCTACGGCAACAAAGTCGTTAAAAACCAAAATTAAAGACACATAGAAAAATTCGCAAGGTAGACTGGAAGACGTTGGTTCGAATATACCCGGATTTAAAGAAAATTGGAATTGTCTACGATTTGTCAATTTTGCGCGGCAGACACGTCTCAGTTTTTTTAAACCATCTTCGTGATGAATTAGGACGCTTTTGAGATAGGCCACTCGAAATATGTGCGTGCATATTGGGCGCACGGCGGGATTGCACATATATCTACAAGCCGCTCTGCGATGTTTGCTTGGAGTTACCATACTCGTCATATTATACTTTGGTAATACTTTCTAATAAGTTATTATCCATTTAAATGATGATACTATTCACTCGCACGTCGAACTTAAATCTTAGATAAATCCGTAAGAAATTTTAATCATCTATAACCACACGTTTAGGTTTTTCAACACAACTCAAAATCTTGAAGTCTCGACCGAATAGCTCCCCATCTCCCAAAGTTTGAGGCAGAGGTTGGTGTAAGGTCTCTGGGAAGAAAAGAGCTGTTATTCCGCCTAAGATGCTCAGAATTCCCATGATGATTAGAGGTAACGCTCTTGAGTAGACCGCCTAGAAATAAATACATAGAACTGTGTTAAAACATTACAAATGATCGCGTACATTTGCTTTTTTCAAACAAATTAACGTTTTGGGCTGATTGAGATGGTATTAGTTATCAACCATCATCAACCAGTTAGATCTAATATTAATGTAACCCACCCTATATTATGAACTGCAGTTACAAAAAAAAACCGATCGTGGAATTACATCTAAGCTATATTGAAATCGGTTACCGGAAAGTGTGCTAAACCGGATAATACCCTAGTTTGCTACCCTTAGAGGTGGAATATTTTTTCAAATTTAAATGAGACTAGTACTGAAGTACCCTCTTTCCAACAAAAAAAGAATCATCGTAATCGGTTCACAAATGATCGGTTCAAAGAGTTATCGAGTAACATACATACAAAAAAACTTGAATTGAGAACCTTCTCCTTTTTTTGAAGTCGCTTAAAAATTATGACAAACTAAGAGAGTTAAATAGTTTTTATTGTAGTTGAAAAATAAACTGATGCACATTAATATTCATTTATCTAAACGGTTAACTTTTACCAACAAATGTCAAATGATTAAAGTAATTTTTTGTTTGATCGTCTTAACCTAACCTCTACCAAGGTTCTGTCACTCACTCAAGGTTACGCAATAAATGTAATAAGTACCGCTAAGTGTATCGCTGTCGGCACAAACATTCGAGGGATGTCACACGTGTATTGAGAAATTACAAAAAGCTTTCTTAAGTAATTTTTGACAATGCCTTGATAAATAAGCCTTGAAATACAGTATTGGAATTTTTAATAAACTTGACTTCATGCTTCTGTGCTTGAGTTTTCCCCAGGAATAAAATTGTGATCATTTTAATCAATGGTAGTTTCAAAAGCATTTTTAGGCAAATGCGTAAAATCGTCACGTAGCGCACATCGTCGTTTAACATAAGACGAAAATATGGCCAAGCGTGCGTCTATTTCTCACAAAAAAATATCTTGTATTTGTACGTCTCTAAAGAACCACCTAGGCAAATGTTTATACCAGAAATACGAACTACGAATAACGACTACAGCTGCTGACTCTTTTTAGACACTTACCAAGTGTACAATATAAGGGCAAGCAAGCAATCCCAATCCCGATATAAAGGATGCAGCTCCCATAGCCTGAGCCCTTAGTACAGTTGGCAGCAACTCGCCAATAAGCACGTAGAATACTGCGAATGCTGACGCAGCGAAAAGTCTGCCTATCATTGCTAATGACACTGTTATCCACGGCCAACCTGAAGACACCGAAAAATTTGACATTTTACACTATATTTTTTGCTTTAAAAGTGACTCTTATCACGATTACATAAAGAAAATAATTGTAATTGTAAAAGTCACATATGTCAAGAGCCGTACGAATTGTTTAGACTGATGAAATCAGTATAATAACAAATGTTGAACGAAACAAGAAACAAATCTACTAGTGAACAAAAGTTAACTACACTGAGATCCTTTTTGAAGATATACATAAATGCTAGGAAACCAAAAATATTAAGGTAGTTGCAACTAAAAAACTTACTTTCAGGAACAAAACCGCAGCACAAACAGGCGAGTCCACCTACGCACATGAAAACACAGAGCACCCAGCGCCGGCCAAACCGCTCCATGCATCGCCAAGCTATGAAATACGAGGGCAGTTCTACTGCTCCTCCTGAAAGAGAATAAGAAACGAATTTAGCATTTAGGTAGGTCCACAACAGCAACATTATTATAAAATTTGAACATTTATATATTTTATAATAAAATCGGCTAGCTGTTGCATGTTGTTTGAAGACCGAAAGCCTCTTGATGAGACCTTATCCTTAAAAGAGACCCGTGCCTATTTTTAAACACCATTATGAAAAAATTCTACTTAAGCATAAAGATGCAACTTGAAAAAAAAAGTATACATGAATAGGAAATAAAATTCGCACTTACCAATAAAGAAAGCTAAGTAATCATCTACGCCTAAATTAGACGAATTGTAACTTAAGCTGTTATAAACGACTCCCAAAGCCACCCAATCAAAAGTAAGTAGCAAAAACTTCTTCCTTATATTCGGGTATCTCCAAATATCCATCAGAGATGCTTTCCCATCACCTTCTGAATTCTGTTCATCCATTTTTCTATTCTCCTCGTCATCTTCATCTTTCATGAACATTTTCGTAACTAATTGTAAAGATTTTCTTCTAAAACTTCCAGCTGGAGATTTTAAAGGATCAGTTTGTGTGGATTTTTGATGCAATTCAGTATTGAAACGAGATTCTTCATTGCTATCTTTACTTCCTTTTCTCATTTTCTTATTTACAATCTCAGCTACTTCTAATGCTAGTATTCTTTCCAAACCTTTAGTTTGTTCTTCTTCGCTTATTTTCGTCAAGTCTGGTTTAAATGTAAGCATGTTGCTTATTCTTCTGTCTATGGATTCGTCTTTTTCTAATACATCGGAGAAACTCACTATGTGGCCGTTGAGTAGGCCAGCTTCCTCTTCTTCTTTGATTTTTTTCTGTGAAATAATGTTATTTAAATTAAGTTTTATTGACAGTAGTGAAAGGTCAAAAATAAGATTAATTAAAAGGGCCTAACAAGCGTGAAGTAAAAGAGAAACATCTTGAAAATAATTGAAAACAGAAGCGGAAGGGGCTCACGGGCTATCTTAAGAAAGAGTTTTTTTATAACATCAAGTGACGGGACGAACAAGTCGTGCAAAGTCAAGCAAGATTTAATTAAAACCAGATCGAAGACGAACATGAAATAAGTTGCTTTCATTAGATTAAAAGAATATGGGGCAACGTGAACCAAAGAAAAAGCTTTGTAAAAGACAGAATAGTGTTCATGGCACCTACGAGAGCACATAGCTCTGAAATGTAAAAGAGAGAATATTTAATTTAAAAACTATACCTAACTTAATGTTATTAATTGTATGTATAAAGTCAACTGCATATTCGGTTGTACACCTTGACCTTTGGCGCGCTCTACTCATAAGTAACGAATTGAATTTAAAACTTAAGCTTAAAGCTGGACGTGCTTTTGATTGAATCTACTGCACAAGTTATCCAAGGTCAAACGGCGGTTTCATTTACAAGTTACAAAGTGAGAGGTATTTTTTGGAATACTGAAATCGAAAAGTTACCGACATGGCGGTATTGTAATCGAGCTACAAACTTTTGGATCCAGATTCGAAAAAAAAACAAATAACGACGATTTAAGATCATTTTGCTGTTCAAGATCCTGTAGCAACCATAACAACAGTAACAACCGGATTAATTAAGAAACATAAAAAATAACACAGATATAACAGATAGTTTATCGTGTGCACACAAATAATGTTCTAAATTCTCGTTTATACAAATGACAGTACAAAGGTTGACAAACACATTGGGGTCAGTTATATCTACACTCGAAATGCGTCACTTATTTTTGTCAATAACGATTAAGGGGTTAAAACTTACTTTTAAGTCTATATCTAATTAAAGAGAAATGTACATAACTACTTTCTTAAGTTGAAACCTCACACAGAAAAAAAGGATTTCTACTAATAAGAAAGAGCAATTTCTCAAAATATTTGCTAATTCTGAAAAAATATTTATTAAAAGTAATAAAATATTGTCATTACAAAAATACTGCTATCTTTTTCTAATACAATTTTACTCTTAACCTTATTGTAACTTTGAGACAAATACGTTCACTTCAAGATTTTATTTCATTTCCAATCAATTAATTGGACATTACTTACATCAAGAAATTTTTACCGCTTACATCAAATTTAAATAATCTTAAATGAATTCAAAATTTCTTGGGTGTGTTTTAAGAAAATATATTTTTAAACAAAAAAAGAAGTATTTATTAATACAAAGATGGAACACTCAGAAAAAATTCCTTCGATCCGGCCAGATTCGAACCGACGTCTTCTAGCTTAATGATAAATAGCTCAAGATAAATGTTTCTATAATATTTTACAGTATATTTTTTTCAATAATCGATTAACTACTGTACGTGTACTATAAGTTTCCGGAATTAATAAGAAAAATATACTATAAATGGTCGCAAATGAATTTATTGTTTCTCAAAATATTCTCCGTTAGAGTTAATGCACTTTTTCAAACGAATGAACCAATTTTGATAACATTTATGCCACTGCTCCGTGACAATCTCTGAAACATTTTTCATACTCTTCGACAGCCTCTTCAGTAACTGGTTCTTAGTTTTTGGAAATAAATAAAAGTCACAAGGGGCCAGATCGGGACTGTAAGCGGTATGGTTCATAAGGTCAACGTTGTTCACCTTCAAAAATTCATTTATCTGTCTAGCCGTGTGAGAACTGGCATTATCGTGGTGCAAGATGATACGGCGTTTACGGTTATTTTTACGGAGTTCGTCAATAACTTCCGGCAAACAAATGGTCGTGTACCAATCATTATTCGCGGTACAACGATTCTCCAAAGCAATAGTAGCCACGTGTCCAGTTTTATTTAAAAAAGAAGCAATCATCCGCTTAGAGGCACTTTACACGCGCCACTTTGGTTGGTTTCGACTCTTCTCGAAATACCTATGCGCTCGATTGCTGCTTTGTTATGGGATCGTAACTATAAGTCCATGTTTCGTCACCTGTTACTATATCCCACACCAAATTTGACGTCTCTTCGTTGAATCTGGTAAACATGGCATTGCACCAAGTGACGCAATCCATTTTTTCAGCCTCAGTCAAATTGTGTGGGATCCACCGAGAGCACAGCTTTTTCACATCCAAATGTTTGTGTAGTATCGAATATATTTGACTCATGCCTATGTCTAAAAATGCCCGAATCTCATGGTATGTCACATGCCTGTCTGTTTTGATCATACGGCGCACAGCACAGATGTTTTTGTTGTTCACAGCAGTGGACGGGCGACCATCATGAAATTCGTCACTGAGATTCACACGATCGCTATAAATAGTTGTCTATCATGGTACTTCATCGCCAAAAGCAGTTTGAAGCCGAGGAAAGCTCCGCTGAGCTGTTAAATTACACTTAAAGTCGTAGAAACGTTGAACGTTTACCTTAAATGATTAGATTTCTTAGGAGGGTATTTAGAAGCAGTAAAGTTCCTTATGAAAGAGATCCTCCAGATACGTACTGCCACCTTACCCCTTTTTGTTACTAAGAAGTAATGTGGGAACCACTGCGTTTCGGTTTTGAATGCTTATGGGAGCGTTTCCATTATGTCGTCATGTTTTATTTATCGTTGGACGACAGTCGTGTCTAGCTGTTCCTACTAGATCGTGACGACAATTTATCGGTTCACGGCAGCCGCCTTGTCGTTTGCACGACAGAATCGTTTGAAGCTGCAATTATCTGTCGTCACATTTTAATCGTGACGTTTTATTTATCGTCAGACGACAGACGCTCTTCCTATTAGTCGTGAACGACAGGTAATCGTGTTGTTGTATGTGTAAACAACTTCATTTTAATACACAGAGCACGATACTTTAAACCGCTAGAGACTATCTGTCGTCACGACATAATGTGCAGAGCGTCAGTCGTCCGTCCTAAGGGGCTGGTGAAATTACAGGCACATGGGACTTGTCAAAGAATTGTTGGATTACTTTCAGATAATCACTTAATATCACAGTTTTGATTAACGCATATTTAGTGTGTCAATTTTCGTTGCAACTTAGAATATTTTGTTCGAATGATCTCAGTACAGAGTACTAAAAACACCGACCTCAAAAGCACGTGGAATTACGTCTGTAAGTTTTATTGAAATATCCCCTAGTTCGCTATGCTACTATGCAGGACTTGACATTGGAGATAATAAAAATCGGTTCTCACTACTCAAAGTACATCGAGAGAAAAACGCCTTGAATTGGAGAAATAGCAAAATCAACCATTAAAGTAATTGCTCCTAAATTAAAGTTAGACGCTATTTATAAAAATGAATCTTCATGCGTCAACAGCCACCCTAAGAGGTGGATGATTTTCTTCAAAATAAAATGGGACCACTATGGAAGTACCCCCTTTCCAACAAAAAAAGAATCATGAAAATCGGTTCACAAATACCGGAGTTATCGCGTAACATACATACAAAAAAAAACGAACATACAGTCGAATTGAGAACCTCCTCCTTTTTTAAGTCGGTTAAAAAATAGGAATTCTTAAACATATTTCATTTCTAATTTATATACGAATTATTTTAATTACTCACTTATTCTTGCAACATGAACTATTGTGACACTTGGACGTCCATAAAATATTTTTCATAACACACAAGCACATCCTATCATCATATTGCTTTGTGCACCAACAAATTGCCTAATGCACCTTCGTCATTGTATAATAATACCTAGACCAAGTGTATAACAGAGTTTATTTCATTGCCGATAACATATACACTCCGTATAAGACATTCTCAGTTCTGTAAGCGTGGGATTGTTGTCTGATTTTTCATTGAGGTGATTAGGACATTTTAATTGATTTGCCTCATCAATTGACTTCAATGAAAAAACGCTGTAAGCCAAATAATTAAACATTTTTGAACCGTGACGTGTAATGCCAGACGGGTATCATTTAAAACCCTTGTAAATGAAATACGAATTTGAAATATAAAATACGTATTTTGTAATGATTATAAATATAAAGATTGAACGTATTGATTTTTTTGATCCGATGTTACTTGAACCCACACCCATACTGCAACTGAACTACGTGTGAAGTTGTCGAATTGTCAAAATTCTCCAATGTGTTTTTGTTAAAGATCTTTGTATTGGAATTTTCGGCATTCTGCGCCGCTAGAGACATCTATAGTCGTCACCAAATAAGAGGCCAAATTTGACACTTGTCATCGTGACGCGAATAGGGATGTGGACTAATCATATCGGTAACCACATTATACGATTTTCACGAGAAATCGATTCAGGGTTTGTGATTGTTTAGATTATTATTCGGTTCAGTGTTGTTCAGGGGCCTAAAAGGCCAAATTAAGTGTTAATTAGTGCAAATAAGTACGTTCATCGATAAAACAACACAACAAACATTAAATTACCAAGAAACCAAGGAGTTCATAAATTTTCAATTATTTGACTGGCAAAAAGTTAGAAGTTGTCAATGTCAACAACAAACAATCTCAAAAATAATGTTCATAATTTAGTCTAATATTTTTTAAAATATTTTTTCCGAGAAATCGACGTGACTCGGTGAAATTCGGCGATTAAATTGCAATTATTATTACTATTACTTTAAAAAAATAGCTTGAGGACGTAACTGTTTTCAGGGCGTTTCGAGGTAACTGAAAAATTGCATTTCAATTTGGAATTCGTGCGAAAACAGTAGTTCAAATATGTTTTGTCATTTATTATATAACGTTTCAACAACATTTATGTATTTTTTTAAACTCAATTATGTTAATACTTGTTTGTTTATTGTTTCGATGATCGCATTCAAAGTTACATGCTATGGCCTTCTTTATCTGTCAAATTTGGCCTCTTATTTGGTGACGACTATAGTGAGAGATTGTAGAACCTTCTTGACCTTCAAAGTAATTGTATGTGTTCGATTTTTGTATTAACAATCCAAATACACCAAAAATTTCAAGAGTGCTTTTTAAGTGCAGGATTTGCGGTGTATTACTGCATTTTATTTGAGATGTTTTTGTTGGTAGTACGGAGGGTATTTATTTAGTAATGCAGAATAATAATTTATAAAAACATGTATTTAAACTGAATCCTTTTCTATTTTGCGAAACCAAATAGCCGCCATTTTGCGGTAGGAGGAGCGCATCGCGTGAGCGGATAACCACCCGCTTGGTGACTTTTTAAATGTGTGCTGGGGCCTACCACAACCTCTTAGAACTATGTTACTTTAACCATACATTGACTTTTCGTACCATGACGCGCTTAAAATAAGCTTATTATAATGTTAAAACTATGATGTTTTATTGGCAGCTTTGTGACTATTCATTCACTCAGTTCGTATTGTGACGCGACTATAACATTAAATTAATATTGCTCTTATGTCAAATTTAGCAATCTTAAAATGGTTACACACATGTAATGAAAACAATATTATTTTCGAATTTATTGGCAAAATATTGGTTTGTAATAATTAAAAGTTAAGTTAAATTTAAGTTTATAAGTTATTTATTTACATATATCTCTTCATTATTTTGTTTATTTTTTATTTCATAGGACATAGGAAATAATTTCTCGTTAAATAAAAATAAGCGATGTTTATTTCGTAAAAATATGACAGCGACATCTATATGCTTCTTGACTGGCAGTTTAACACTCGACCATAATTCCGAATTCACAACGTCATCGTGACAATCAAGACTCAGCTTGTTTTATTTATTTTTCTTCATGAAAATGCGGAAAACGACGTAATTTTTATAGATTTCATTATTACACACTTTTCTTTTTTACTACTATAACATTATACTACGATAGAATAATTTGGAACATCTAAAAAGAAACAGATGGCATTATACAGTTCATATAGCGTTATTTCTTTCCTATTTTTAGTAAGGAACAGACAATATTGGGAAATCATTCGTTATTTCAATCGCTTTAGCAATAATACATTACTTGGTTGGTTGGTTTGCCATGGTACGAATATGAGTAATATTATAATAAGCTTACATTGAAATAAGATTGTTTTTTGAATGGTTATGGTAGGCCCCCTGTACCTACTCATAATAAGTACTATGGTACCAGAACTGCTAACGTGCTCATACTAAAAAACTTAATAAATTACCTAGCCATTATGTCATAATGTTTTATTTACCTATAGTTGGACGACCAAAAACCAGAAACAAATATCTGCAACAAGTTGCGTGGCTTAGTCGGCATAGCGTCCGTCACGGTTTGCTAGAAAACATTTGTTTCGAATCCAGGAATTTTTCTAAATGTTCGATCTTTGTATTAATAATTACAAACGTAATTATTAAATAATTTATGCCTGACCTAATTATCTATTTATATAAGATCGTTTATGTTAAATTAAAATGATGATGTACTTATTGAGAACTGTTAACAACTACTTCATTTTCCTTTGTCAGACGTGACACATTATAAACCCCTCAAGGGTTTCAATGTCTTACCATGTATCTGATAGAGTATGTAATTAAAAATGTATATGAAATTATAACTTAAATAATATTAATATTGAATTTGAACTTACGTGTAACAACAAAAGGAACCCCCTAGGCAGTTGTATACCATTCATTCTTCCTATATTCCGGAGAACATTCTCCGCCTCAGCTATCCTGCCGCGACCCACCAGCCACCTCGGAGATTCAGGAATGATCCAATAGTATCTGAAAAACGTAATATAGGAGATAGAACTTAACTTAACTTTTACGCGTTTTATCCGCTCACGCGATACATGCAGCCGTAGACGCATACCATACCCAGAGGTGCCGGTGATGATTTTATACCGATTTATCGGATATCGAAGTTATAACAGGTAAAAGAACTAATATTAATTGCTATTGCGGTAACTACTCTAGCAAACCATAACGTTTTTAATGCCTGGGTCTGTCATTTAAAAAAAATAAACAACTTCAAAAATACGTCACGACAATCGTGTGTGTTATTGTTTGGGCTGGTGATTTCTGTGTTTATTTATTGAAAACATACAATAAGTAGCGTTTTTTAAGTTTACTCTGAATATAAATGTTTATAAACTTACTTTAAGGAGTAATTTCATGGTAAACGTTAGAACCACTCAAACGGAATATTATCATATTTATCCAAGTACACCAAAAATTTCATTAGTGCTTTTTAAGTGCAGGATTTGCGGTGTATTACTGCATTATATTTGAGATGTTTTTGTTGATAGTACGGAGGGTATTTATTTAGCAGCGCAAAATAATAATTTTTATTTATAAAAACTTGTATTTAAACTGAATGCATTTCTAATTTGCGAAACCAAATAGCCGCAATTTTGCGGTAGGAGGAGCGCATCGTGTGAGCGGGTAAAGAGCTTGTCCAAAAATTATTAGCTTAATGGATATACAGCATTCATCAACACGAACAACAGTTGGTTCATTACATGAGCTTGAATCAGCTTTTAGGTAACTGCAATTGTAAAATGGGTGCGACGACGATAACTGAAATTACCAAGTTAGTAATTACAGAAATAATTTAATCTAATTACTAAAATAACTAGACTAAGCATGTTGAAATAATGTAACAAACTTACCCATAAAGTAAAAGAAAAGGTAGACTTGTAGCCAAAGACAGGTAAAACCAGTCTCGTATGATATATGCAAGGAGAGCCAACACACACATACCGGCTGCAAAAAGCATACCTACTACAATACCTGAAAAAAGATAAAATCATAATAAACAAATGATTTGCAACTCATATAAATAAGTAAGGGCTCCGTATTCATCATTGAGGAACAAACACACTTTTTTTGATATTTCACCAGCAAAAGGCGCCCAACAAAAAATACGTCAAAGGTAATTCGGAAACAAAACATTTCTTCACTAAACATTGCTAATAAATTGCAAGTTAAGTCAAATAAATTGCAAGTGTTAAGATCATTAATGTATCTATATTTATTACAAAGATAATATGCACAATTCAAAGAAAGCATTTTATTAGGGAGGCCTATGTTCACTTCATATGGTCACATTTGATAACACCATCTATCAGGTATTATAAAATTACTATTATAAGTAACGGCATGCGCATATCCAAAAAATGACTGGCTTTAGTTGGCATTGTCTAATACATAATGCTGTTATTTACGGTTTATTTCTAAAAAACTACTATTGTTAAAAGCGAGAGATTGCAAAAATTAGGATACTAAACATTCTATGATATACAACGACGTATTCATGACATGTCACTACGTTCCACAATAATACTTACCAGCATATGTTCTTCTATTAGGCGGCATCAATTCCAAGGCCAATATAAAAGGCTGTTGATACAAAGCAGGGAAGAAAAGTCCACCAGCAACTCTCAACCCTATGTACGTCCAATAAGTGCTGGGGAATGATGCTGCGATAGCCAGTGGCACTTCCAGGAAGATCATTAATAGGGTTGTTGGACGACGACCGTATCTATAAAGATTTAAATTTTGTTAAGAATTTTCAAAAGATATAAGGTTTGATTACTTCAAGTCTGTATTAACTGATGGCATCACTACCGCTATCATTACAGCATCTCCACAAGCACCATTGGATTTAGGTCATTCAGATTGAGGAGAATTTGTCGTGATCAGTACAAAGATACATTTTAATATAGATAATACACAAGAAAACGTTGCTCATTTTCTGAATTTATCCCTTAATCGGTTTGTGTACTATTATGGAACTTCAGTAAGTAACTGAGAAAAAAATAAGTAAGTAAATCACAGAATAGAAATCCAAATTAAGATAATACCCATTAGTCATCTACAGACAGGAAATAGCGACAAGGTGCAAAGACTATATCATCTGTTAACCCTAATGATGGTAAGAAAATAAAATTTGTAACAAAAAACGTTTACCTGTCCGACATCCAACCAAAAAATATGTTTCCAAATATTGATCCCACCCAGAAGAGTGTGTTTCCAGTGCGGGGCAGCCATTCTTGATCACAGACTAGAGAAAACTGGAAAATTATGACCAAACATTATGAAAAATTCAATTCTAAGATTCTATTTATCATCCACGTTCAGAAAACCGCGTTGCACAGGCCAATCTAACAAAATACCGGTGGTTCAAATGTGCTAATAACGATTAACAATTGAAATGAAACTATTTTTTCAAACAAACCAACATTTTGGACATTTTACAGGTACCATGGTCACGGTGCCACTGTGACCTCAGCGTTTGAGTTCACACTGGGACGTACATAGAGTTCATAGACCACGAAAGTAATTATTAGGATTGTCACAATTAAATATAGTTTTATTTCATTGTATTTATTCAGTTTTTCTTCCACAGGGCTAAGAGGTTACCTGGTTAATCTTTGTAAATGACTATTGTACTTTACAGCTAGAGTAAGTGTTATAACATTTTAAATAAATAAATTATTACTATTAATATCAAATTCCGATTCATTTATTCTTCATGATACACATGTTAAAATGCTTTTTCTTGAGTGCATTTATAATTCGCTGTAATCCAAAGTTCACTGTAGTCTTGCAGTCCAATAAAATAACATCAATGACAATAAACAAATATGTTATTTGAATTTTAAAACTATATTTAGTCAAGTACGTATATAGATCCTGTAAAGAGCCTGAAAAGTTGATCTGTTTAAAAAGAACAAATTTGCGCAATTTTAAATCCGAAAATAACTTTAATTTCCATTAGAAATAAGTATATTCTTGTTCCATATTCCATGGTACGTAATTATATGAACAAGATTAAGAATATGAAATTATATTTATCGATTGCATAATATAAATATGGTCAGAATGCAAATCTTACCTCAGTAACTAACGTGGTGGTATAGTGTTCAGTGTTAAACTTCCATCCATTAGAGCAAGCGACGGGTTCAGCACTTCGTATGTTTAGTATAGCTTCTCTCACTTTTATTATCTGAAAGGAAATTGTAACTTAAAAATATATATCACACATCCAACCACATGTGTACATCGCTACGAAACAATTCTCGTAACTTGATAGCTTTTGGATACCTTTTCTTCGCAAGGTTTTATTATCTACTATATTTCAAGGTAAAACAAGCTTCGTATCTATACTATAATATTTTATAGCAGTTGCAACAACAATAGATCCGTCTGTATTTGCCTCTGAAGACAAACGTGACGTACCAGTAACTTTATTCATATCAGGACTTAATTGGTTTTGGTTTTTGGAATGTTAAAAACCGAGAACTTTGTCTCTACTACCTTCAGACAGTCAACGAACAAGTGGATTTTCCGACAATTTATTTTTTTACCCATATATTTACAGAACATAGCAATGATAGTATAGTTTGCATAACTTAAGTAAAAGAATTTAAATTCAGTTATCAACATCGTCGAGTCTTTCAGGTTCATCTGGAGAAATCTAATCTTTGAAAACGTACCAGAGCTTCCAACACGCATTGGATTAGTTACATGTTACTTTTTTTGTTACTACTACAATGACATTGGACAAAGTCAATGCTTCTCCATTCGCACCTGTTTTGTATGCGTATAAATCAATCGTTGCCAAGTTGTCTAGATCGTTAGGCCACAATCTACATAGCCCACTTTTTATAACACTAGCAAATGGCTAGTCAACATTCAAAAATGTATCTCTCGCCCAAGGGACAGCAATTTATATCCCCCACACTTTAAAAGACGCTGATTAAATTATGCTTCCTGGGCTGTTCATCTCTCAATTTAAGACGTGGCAAGCAAAGTGGGTCACGTAGGGTGATACTATCTATGCGAAAATAAGTTCTAGGTTACACTGGCGTACTGTATAAGAGGGGTTCCACAGGGCTATGTCTTATGTCCTATTTTTATATTTGTGTATGTTTATAATATAGTTTTTTAATCGTAGCATCATATCAGTAATTTTCAATGAATCGTCTTTTTTAACGCGTGCTTCTCAAAGCATCATTTAAAAAAAATTATGTCGATAATATATTTACCCTTTTTGTTTCTGTAACCATAAGTTACGTTAGGAGTCTGAACTTGTGGCACTACTATCAAGATTTGACGTCATTATGTTTTTAGTAAAAATAAAGATCTCGTATCATTCAGGAAAACGGCGATGATCAAAAACTTAAAAACAACGTGAAGGAAATTAGAATAGAACTATTTATTTCATATTGTCAATATCACAATATTACAATTTAAAATACAATGTCAAGGGATAAATAATGATCTTTTCGTATATAAACAAAATATACGAAAATTTCGAAAGGTAAGATGTTTCAAGATATATTTTTACAAAATATCTTACTGGCAACTGGCTGGAGCAGTGACTCGCTGACAGCGACAAAGAATTCAAACCTTTGTCAGTCAATGTCAGTGGGCTGCCAGAGCGTTGTATTTTTCTGCCTTTCTGTAGTTTCTATTTAAATATACTATTCAAATACTTAACTGATATTACAATTGTTTACTCGCTCGTTAACATATCTCTTTATCAAAATCTACGTTCTTAGCCTCTTAACTAACCTGTTCTTTTCTTTCATTTTCACTCGACACCGGCATCAATTGACTGATCTTTACCATACGAAGTGCTCCCCCTTCGCGAACGAGTTCTGACCTTTTAAAACATAAAAAACACATTTCACAATTATGCATAACTGTTTACTTCTACTACAAAATGAAAACAAGTCTCGCCCATGCACTTTTTCTTCTAGATTCCCGAAGTTTGAACTAATACCACGCCCCGGACACTACATACAACGGTTGAAAGTTGTTTACCTACTACTACTACATACAGCAAGGCGCTAGCTGCACACGCGCAAATGTATGCATGAATTGGCAGGGTTACCCATCACTTCCTCGCAGTATTACGTTATGTGGTCAGAGCGGCAACATAGCGAAAATTGTAACGCGAATCTATTATCTATGATTCCATTAATAGAATCCTAATAATTATACATGTCTATTATGTATTTATGTCGATATATTATTATATTTTTCATTAATTCACTAACTAGAGTAATATTGAAGATTTATTTCAAAAATATGTTAAAAGCACTTATAATGTTATATTTCGGACATGTACTTTTAAGTAAGGTAACCAATTTTTTATTAGTTAATTAATAATTAGATACATTCACTACCTACGTAATATTTATCGGCAATACGAATAGAAAATTCGCGAAGTCATGGCGTCTCATTTATATATTAAATTAATATATTAAATCTATATTACTATTTAGTATTGATATAATAAATCTATATTTTTATACATACATATATTACTCTGCAGTAAATAAATGAACTAAACAATAACTGAATGAGTCTCAGACATAAGTTTTTTTTTACTTGCTTCGTTTTATCTTTCGGAAAATGATGATAAACAGCCGTACACAGCACAATTCACGACTATAATAAAAAGTAACGTAAAATTATGTTTTATATTAACGTACAAGTTTCGTAATTAATAAATGAAATATCAAATTCAAATATCAAAGCCGTGTTCGCACGAAAACGACTCGCCGGCAGCCTTGTTGTCGTTCCGTCAATGTGACCGGCAATGTGCGGGGCGTGGTGCGGTATCTAAAACTAGGGAGGGGCGGAGAGTATCCGTTCTCTTATTCTTTATTCTCTGCTAAAACAAATGCCAGCTTTAGTGTTGTTAAAAAACCGTTTTTTAGGTGAAAAAAAACAATAAAGAAAACATGAAAAGAAACCGTTTTTTTCTGGAGCACGTTTTTATTTCTAAAAGTAAGTAATATTATTCTTCATAGATAAAACTTGTTATTAACTAAAACTTAAAAATTAAAGCTAAAGTACTACAATTCTCTTGTTTCATAGTAAATTGGATCTTAGTACATAAAGAATTAAGATAGTCCAAGAAAGAAGGTATGGATATATTGGACTTATATTGGACAAACAAAGCGAAGTATTTGTACCCGGGTCAAAGAACATATAGCTGATGTCAAACACCGTCGCGTAAACAAGTGCAGTGCAGTCTGCGAGCATGTTATGGATAAACCTACATATTCAATGAAAAAATCGGGAAAATAAAAAGAAGTCATACCGTGGTAAGAAACCTGATATTAGTGATAATCACATTCAATGAAGTTTGACAAACCCCAGGTCCTTGCAAAAGAAGTCCGTTATCTATCCAGGATGCTGCCAGAGGCCATTGAAATTAAAAACATCCTAATTTCAACAGGGAAGATGGTTTCTCCGTACCATCAGTTTGGGATCCCGTATTTCCTCTAATGAAAAATCCCAAACAGACATAAGACTGCAGTACTAATTAATATGTTTTAGTTTATTCTAATTTCTATTATTAATTAATAATAAATTGAACTTAATAAAAATTAATTCAATAAAATAATTTGAATTGGAATGTTTTCTTTGTAAAATTAAAAATAAGGTATTTAATTAATAACTATTGTAACTATAGTGAAAAAAAATACGGTGATTTGCATCAATATTAGACATAACTGGTTGAAGACTGTAACACCTCAGTCAACCGTGACCATGGGACCTGTAAAGGGCCCGAAATTTCGGTTTGTTTGAAAAATATACGCAATTTAATTGCGGAAAAATAGTTTCATTTCCTATAAAAGTTAGTCTCTTATTTTATTTCATTTATTCCATTTTATTTTTTCTGAAAAAAAAACCAAATTTAGAAAAAGAAATTTTTTTCATGTTCTTTTTTTTTCAAAAATGTGCCGTTTTCAAGTTACAGCACTAGTCAGCTTACTGCCACCACTGGCCTCACAACTCATTTCTGATCAGTCTGGTGTAATATTTGGTCACTCTGTCCGCAGACAAATTGATAGCATCTGTCAATGGTAAAACTAAGAAAAACTCACTGATCACTCTCGACTGATAATTCTAGTAACTCATGTCAATGCATGAGTTAATAGAATTATTTAGTTGACGTTGCTTCCGCGCCAACTGGACCTGGGGGTCTACTGCCGTTCGGCGTCCGACACAAGTCCGAAACAATTACTATGAAAAAATAATACCCGATCAAATTATAAGACGCATGATGCAATAAAGCTTCATACTTTACACTGTCTTGTGATATGGTTCAGTATTACTTATTTGACTTTTTTTTTTCGGACGGATGTCGGGCGGAGCACGAGAATAGACTCCTAAATGACACCTCTAAAAGTAGGTCAAGTAAAGCTTCTCTACGAACGTCATATAAAATGTATGGGAGCGTTTAATGTTAAAATTTTGGATATTTCTAGTTTTATTTTTTTAAATCTCTCGCATGAAACGCCTGACAGTACGCTCGAAACAGAGAAACTTTCACCTGGTCTGAACAGGTATTTACTATTACATAACGATCTATTATCATAACGTCAAAATGTCGTTTGTGCGACACTTTAAACTGCACAACTATCTGTAGACACGGCATAATGGAAACGCGCCCTAACTATCCATGAACGGGTTAAACAAGACACGTACTTAGCAGTGGGATGTATTATCAGTTCACGATGATGTTAGGAAGGCCTTATGGACACAAAACAGAGGAACTACTTAGTGAAACGGCTACGCATTTCGTGCTTTGAGACTAGGGTCTGGGCTTCAAAAGCATCTTTATTTAACGACCTTGATATAAAACATACTCATGATTGATTAAAAAATAACAACGCCAAAAGTAACAATATAATTCACACTGATTTGTTATTATGTGACATAATTACTAATTTTTGGGCAATTTACCATGTATACCTGTTGTATTTTTGATAATAAATCACGACATATTATACGTTTATTTAAATAACTTTATCCAGATCGTTATATTTGTCACAAATGATTAATGGTGTTTATCTACATTATAATATTAAAGATTTTAACATCATAACCTTATATTTGATTTGTTTGATTTGAATATAGAAAATTTATTCATAAATTCGGATATTAATGCTTCTCCTCGGTGTTACATAATTCTGTGAACTGTGTTGCTAATCAGAAAAATGAATAATGAATGAATGTTTTAATGAGTATTTTTGTGTAACTAACTAACAATACCATAAATTTAATAATGTTTTTACTATGAATATTTTTTGTGAAAATACGCCACTAATTTGTTATTGTTATTGACACAAAGATCGAAGAATATAAAGAAAAAATAATCCTCGGTCTGACTGAACTCAAACCAGTGTATGTTGTAGCCATATTGAGTTTAATCAGTCATCTGACGTGGTCTTATGACACGACTGTCGTTGGCAGGGTTGCCATATGAAAATAAGGACTGAAGTTTATGTTCAATGTTTTATAAACCTAACACGCATTGACAAGAGGGACTTTAAATATCAGTTACTTGGAAAGTGAACAAGCGCGGCCGTTCTCTGTGAACTTGCCGCGTGAAATTTAAAATCCGTTTTAACCTTTCGAACTGAATACCAAGAAAAGTGAATAAAGGAATTAATTGCAATCAACTGAAGTTGTAATTTCATCGCCGGCTGAACGATTTGACAACGAAAAGTGAATAGGCCAATTATCGAATAATTCCTGTCAAAATCAGTGACGAGGGTATTTCCCTAAACCACTCCCTTACGATTATACTCCGACATAAATATTTCAATTGGTAGCTAATTAAGATTTTATTTAGTACAGGTCAGGTAGATGTAATAGGTACACTTACCGCTCATCTACATAGTCGCTCAAAGCAACATACAAAGCTCTTGGATCCACAACATAAGCTATACAAGATTCGTAAGTTCCAGACGGCCGCCGTGGTACAGTTAGGTTTCGCAGAAGATCATCTGGGAGTTGCAGAACGTCCAGCTCTGGCGGTGGCGCGCACCAATGTTCTGGGGATGCGTTTGTGAAGACCTGGAATAAAAAAAATATGATAGAAAAATCCAACGTTTAGTGGAAAGAATATTTCTAACAAACGTTTTCACTATAACAATCTTTTACACCAGTTCACAAAAGTGCATACAATAAATAAAGATAATACATAGTTAAAGCCGCTGGTGTTCACACTAGAAAATCAGTACCATACATCACAATTAACAATTAACTTTTAGCGTATTATTTTCTTTTCAAGTTTGTGATGAAAGTCTTGATGTTTTACTAACATGATATTCAATTATTTTTTGTGAAATTGATCTACTAACTAACTCGTTTGTTATAATTATTAATAATAAAGATTTAAAAAAATCCTTAGAACGGGCCGGATTCGAACCGACGACGACGTATTCTAGCAAACCGTCTCAGACTCTATGCTAACTAAGCGTAGTAACAAAGACTTGAAAATTAAAGCGAAGTCTCTAGTCAGCGATGGTAGCTGAAAACGTACCTACCTCTCTGAGTGAAGAAATAAATTTCTCACAGATGGCGCCACGGCCAAAAAAGATGTTAAAAACCAAAAACAAAGATCTGCAACAAGCACGTAGAAAAATTCGTAAGGTCAGCTGGTTCGTTCCGTTGCTGCTTAGTTAGCATAGCGTCTGCCACAGTTTGCTAGAAGACGTCGGTTTAAATCCGGCCAGACAGAAGGAACTTTTTTTGTTATTAAGAATAATTTTCTTTTTTAATTTCCGTGCCGTGACGTGTCAACGAATGTAATTAATTTCCATTATCGTGATAGATCGTTTAATGTATTTAATTTTCATACGATTATAATATCCTGTCGTTTAATGTGGTTAATTTTCGTACTATTTTCGCATGTTGTCAAGTAATATGATTAATTTACGTGCCATAGTCGTGTCGTATCAACTGATACGGATAATTTCCACGCAATGAACGTGTCATGTCAACTAATACAAATAATTTTCATGCCATTATCGCGTCATGTCAATTAATGGGGTTAATTTTCGAAGATTGACGTTATCGTGTCGTGTCAATTAATGAGGTTAATTTTCGGAGATTGCCTTTATCGTGTCGTGTCAATTAAAGAGGTAAATTTTCGAACATTACCGTTATTGTGTGGTATTGGCCAATGTGAAAATATATCAATATCTACCAATATACTATGTCATTGAAAGGCGTGTTCCATTTCTGTACAAAGTCTCACATTCATTTGCTGAAACGTAATTTGAATGACTAGAACACTTTCAATAAAAGAGTCGTGCTCTCTTTGAAAAGCAGTGTTACAAAAGGTGTACGCACATTGAGCTACTGGTAGTCGTCAACGTTTTAACTTTATTCAAGGAATAATTACTTTTAGCATTCCATATATTAAATAATACACATGCGCATATTAATACACTCAGAAACTAAGGATCCTTAGGGAATATCACAGAATGCAATGCACAATATAACAAAATAAAGTCATACCCTTTTTCTCAGGTGTTTTGTTAATAATACTAGGTTGTAATTTACATAAGTAACTTTAAATTCTAGAATCTCAGTACAGTATTTTTATGTTTTATTTCAATATTTATTGTACAGAAAAAAACTAAAACAAATTTAGTAACAAGGAAAACACAAACAAAGGGTACTGTTTATTTCTAACAGAAATTTCTTCCTGCATACCTAGATACAGGAGACAGTAATTACAATAACATTTTTGTGCACAACAAAAAAAAAATGAAAACATTAAAGTGGTTATTAACAAGATACACATTAAATATTGGTTGTGTTTGGTATTATAGTACGAAATATCTAAATATTTTTATAGTTTTAATATTATAATTCACGACAACAAACCTATACGAAAGCCAAACAAACGCCTCAAAACAAAAAACCAAAGAGATATTTAGGAAATGAAACAATTTTTGGGATTTAAATCGCGTTGTTTTTTCAAACAAACCGACGTTTCGGGCCCTTTACAGGTCCCATGGTCACGGTTGACTGAGGTGGTACAGTCATCAACCAGTTATGTCTAATATTAATGCAAACCACTTTATTTTTCAACGCTATTTTTAAATTTTTACAAAGGACGTTCTAATTTATTATTATTTTACTTTAACAATATGATTTTTTTATTAAATTAAATTTATTACTGATTAATAATGGAAATCAGAATAAATTATAATAACAAATTATTAATTAGTACTGCAGTCTATGTTTGTTTGGGATTTTTCATCAGAGAAAATACTGGATCCCATACTGGTGGTACGGAGAAACCATCTTCCCTGTTGAATTATGATGTTTTTTTTTTTTAATTTCAATGGCCTCTCGCAGCATCCTGGGTACCTGGGGTTTATCAAGATTGTTTGAATGTGTAGGTTTATCCGTGACATGCTCGCAGACTGCAGAGTTGTTTACGTGTTTGACATCAGCTAAGTACATGTTTGTTGACGCGGTACAAATACTTCGCTGCGTTTGTCCAATATAAAAGAGACCGCCCTCGTAGTCAAACTTGTACACTCCTGCATCCTGTTGGGAGATGTTACATTTCACGGGTCTCAGGAACTGAGAACTGAGCAATGGGTCAAGTTACCGAGTTGTCGACATTCTCCTATGTGTTTTAGTCATAGGTTTTTGTTAAAGGTCTTTGTATTGAATTTGACATCTAGTGAGAGATTTTTAGAACGTTCTTCGGCAGAATGCCGTAAAAGCAATATTACGATGCAGTATGGTCGTGGGTTCGAGTGCCATCGGATCGAGAAAGATTTTCTTTGTGTTCCATCTTTGTATTAATAATTATAATAAAAACTGGTGGAGTTATGACCACGCTGTACCGTAGCGCTCCTCTGACCAATTGAGCTACAGATCAAGTTATCGAACTGTCGAAATTCTTCTGTATTTTTTGTTTTCCTTCACTAAATATTATCATTATCAATAGTGACAGCTACAAATAACTCTACTACGAGTTACTTAAATGAGTACAATGGACTGAGTACAATTATGTAAATGCTTATAGATGCTAGTGACTGCATAAATATTTGTATAGCAAATTATATGGGCTGTTTGTGGTATGTTGTTCGAAAAGATAAACGTGCGGTTAGGGCAATTCACATTTGTGTAGTAAAATAAGTTTTGCGTTTCTCGTCTCTCCTCACAAAATGTGGTAAAAACCCCGGATTCGCGGAAAAATCTTCCCGCACCGCGACCTCGAGTACTAGGCAGTCAGACATATGTAAGAGTTGGAAATTCGCGTACAGTTGTTGGCCTCAGATTATCTTTGAGAGATAAGTTTGAAGAAATTATTATTATGTTAAGTAGTAGTGAAAAAACGCTGTTTAGTGAAAGATGTGGCTTACGATAAGTCTGCGGTCAAACGCGATATACTTCATTTTATGAAAGATCATTCAGTGTGAATAATCTCAGTACAGAGTACTAAAACAACCGACCTCAAAAGTCATTCATCCCCTAGTTTGCCACCCTTGCACGTGGAATATATCCTTCAAATTTAAATAGGTCAGGAGGTATCCTCTTTCCAATAAAAAATAATCATCAAAATCGATTCGGAGTTGTCGCGTAGCATACAAAAAAGAAAAAAACACAGTAGAATTGAGAACCTCCTCCTTTTTTTTTTCAAATCGGTTAACACGTTCGTCGCCGGTTAGAATTTTCAAAAATGTTCAATATGACATTGGCTTATATGACTGTTTTGGTCTCATTTGTATACGTATATAAATTTTTTCGCGATATTTATAGATTTTTTCTCTAGTTGGAGATTATATTTAGTGCCGGGCATTTTAACCCCAATGTCGGACTGAGTATATACACATAATGTGCGATCGATGTTTACCTAAAACTGACTTTTTGCTTAGTATGTAACTTTTAAATCCAGTTTGAAATTAAAGATTTTTTTTTTCTTTCCTCTTAGTCTAGAAAAGTATGTATGCGATCAAAAATCCTAAAAATCAACAGCAGTTCGTCAGAGCCACGGCGGTTATGTTACATGGCTAAATGCGTAGCGTTTGCCACCTGCGGCGTGAACGAGCATCGCAAAGTTACGTGTGACGTACCGGTCATTTTAACCCTCCACGGCCACAATAAGTAGATGAGATGCCGGTCATTTAGGTCCACCACGGCGATGAACGTGTTAAAAATGTTTTTGGAGTGAAAAGCGTCGTGTGTTACACAGTCATCAAGGTTATTGCAAACTCAGTACCAACTCGGTGAAATTACCTACATTTACACGCCCTACTAAAGCAACAGAGACTTTAACATGGTAGTATGTAGTACTTATGGTAGTTTGGAAATTATTTCCATATCTCGATGCGGGCGGTATGCAAAACAGTCTGTTTGATACGACGGGCTGCCAAGGTCGTCGTTTCAGGTTGTGAAAGGATTTGTAGCATAAATAACCCGGTATATGTAATTAATAGTGTTGTAACGAATAGTATTTCGCCTTTGGTCCGATTACCGAATATTCGGCCCGGAGCGAGGCTGAATAGCCGAATATTCGGCCTGATTAATGATCTTACGAAAATTGGCGTCCAAACCGCATTATAGCAAAGATATGTATATGTTAAATTAATTGAAACAAGTAATGAAATGATGCATGATTTTGTAAAAAAAAACAAAATTTATTTATTTTTATGGAGATTATTCAGTTCTTCAGTTTGATTGACTTTCAAAAACTTAATTTTATTTTCATTTGCAAATGTATTTATTATTTGCAAATGAAAATGAAAATATTTTGATTTTGTAAGCGTTTGTTTAATCATGATTTCATGACAAAATTACGTAATCAGTAGGTAGTATTCATTTGATTTGTTACGTATTTTTTGATCCCATAGAAGTTACTATTTGAGATAATTTACTGTCTTTTCTTATTTTTTCCTCCTGTTTTTAGATATTCTGTCGAATAGTGATGTTCTATTCGGTATTCGACCGAATAGCAAAAAATAGGCCGAATAAGCCGATTACCGAATAGTAACCGAATATTCGTTGCAACTCTAGTAATTAAGCTTTATTACACACATATTTATGGCTAAATGGAGTGACGATCTGCAAAAGGCTGCTGGCTGCAGATGGATGCGACAAGCTGAAGTCTGGGCAAAATGGCTTACGTTGGGAGAGGCTTATGTTCAGCAGAAAGGGATTTTTCTTTATGTTTGTTCAATCTTTGTATTAATAATAACTGTCGCGTCCAGCCGCCAAGAATGACCAGACTGACAGGTCACGAAGACAAACTAGACTGACAGGTATTCGAAATTGCACCGACTTTCTTTTTGGACAAAAGACGACGACCAACCTTCCGTTCTTTTGACAAAGGACTAGCAGACGACTTCTCCAGACTGAATTGTATAGACAGACCGTACAACAACAACAAACTGGTGAAATATTTTAATAAAAAATATATCAATATCACGGTATTAAAAACGGCATGATATTCAATAAAATAAATACTATATAATCCATTAATACCATGAACTAATAACCAAAGAGGACTGTTAATCGCGATATCAGACAGCGTAGTCAGGTACAGTACTATAGCGCAGGCTGGTTAGATTGTATTATTTTGTATTTGGAACTGTATAAAAAGTTCAGAAATAATTTTATGCTCACGGTCAATATCTGAACAACATTACAAGGAAAAAACTGGCTACTTGTATTTCATATAAAAAGAGAAATTAATTGTTAATGGAACAAAGTATAAACTACTGCCAAGCCGAGCCGAATGTTGGTTATGTGAGAATTGAGAAATGAACAACATGTCTATATCACAAAACAGTAAAAAATCGTAACGTGTTTTCGAAACAATGAATCGAAATCTGTTCAATAAAAACCGAAACATTTTCGGAGAAGCAAACTTCTTTAAATCATATTCCTAGCTTATAATAGGTAAGGTATAATAGGTAATTTCGTTAAGAAAGAAGATATCCATAATATTAACTTTAGAACTAAGTCCAAACTCATACGATAATCAAAATCAAAATCAAAATAATCTTTATTTCATAGGTAAGCATTATTACACTTGAAATCGTCACATTGGTAAAATTCTACCGGTCATTCGTAAGGCAGATTCCCCTGAGAAGAATGAGCAAGAAACTCTAGGGGTTGGTCTTTGTAAATAACATTTGTACGCATTCAACTCTTGCAATATATTTTTTGTTTTGGTTTCAAACATCAAAGATCGAGAGTAGTCTCGATCTTTGTAGTATCCCGTTTAGCTGCATGAGCTAAACGGGTTACTACCATGGATTTTTGTCATCCAAGTACGCAGAAGTACGCGTAAGAACCTTTAGTATAAAGTTTTTGTTTCACTATAGTTTTAAACCTCGTGACAGGCAAATTTTGTATATCAACTGGAATCTTGTTATAGAAACGTATACATTGCCCCTTAAATGATTTTTTGACTTTGTGAAGACGACTATCAAGAACAGCAAGTTTATTTTTTTTCCTCGTATTAATGTTATGTCTGTCACTATTTTTCATAAACAAATTACTATTCCTCTTAACATACAGATAAATCACATTTTCATAGATGTCCTGTGACGCTAGTGTAAGAATATTTTTTTCATTATACTTATCTCTAAAAGATACTCCGGGGCCCAGATTGTATATTGCCCTAACCGCACGTTTCTGCAGGACAAACATTCTATTGATATCGGCGACATTACTCCAAAGCAAAATGCCGTATGTCATTATTGAAAGTAGCTGAAGTAAACCAATCTAGCGGTTTCCACGTCTGAAAGTATCCGCATTTTTTAAATCGCGTTATCAAAACGGCTCAGCTCTACAGTGTAAGAGCTGAGCCGTTTTGATAGCTTACTTATATGTGGACCCCATTGCAATTTAGCGTCTAACGTTATACCTAGAAATACAACTGTAGACACAAGATTACATTTTTTCTTTCTAACTACAATGTTTGTAACCGTCTCTCTAACATTGGGTAATGTAAATTTCACACAATTTGTTTTTTTCTCATTAAGAAGCAGGTTTTTAACAGCAAACCAATCAACTACTTTAGATATAGAATTGTTGACATCGTCGTAGGAACATTGGTGCCTTTTAACTTTAAATAATAATGAAGTATCATCAGCAAACAATACTATCTCATTGTTTTATACCCTCCATGGGGCTAGGTAAGTCATTAATATAAACTAAAAACAAAAATGGACCTACAATTGAACCTTGAGGGACACCCATGCTTATTGCAGACCCTGATGATCTCGTACCGTTAACATCGATCTTCTGGACCCTACCACTCAAATACGATGTAAGAAGGTCGAGGTCACGTCCCACCACACAATAATGGCGAAGTTTCCTGACCAGGGTGTCATGGTGCATAAAATCAAAAGCCTTGGAACGGTCACAGAATACACCAATAGCGTCATGTGAGTCTTCCCACGCATCAAATATGTGTTTAATCAACACAACACCAGCACCGGTTGTAGAGCGACCCCGAGTGAAACCAAATTGTTTAGGAGACATTAAGTTATTATTATAAAAATGTGCACACATTTGATTTTACTGTG